TGCCCTCTTCTGACCTATGTGAGCATTGCATGGCATGGGTGTACTTACATACATGCAGGCAATACACTCAAACACTTAAAAATAAAATAATAAATAAAATATAAAAAAGTAAAGTGTCAGGGGCTGGAAAGATGGCTCAGTAGTTAAGAGCACTGACTGCTCTTGCAGAGGACCCGGGTTTGATTCCCAGCACCCACACAGTGGCTATGAACTGTCCTTAACTCCAGTTTCAGGGCAATCTGAAGCCCTCTTAAGACCTCCGCAGCATTTCATGACACAGGTGCACTCAATACATGCAGGCGATAACACGTAAAATAAAAACGTAAACACGTAACATAAAAATAATAAATAGAACATAAAAAAATTTTTTTGGTCTTTTTGAGACAGGGTCTCCCTGTAGCCCCAGCTGGCCTGGAAATCATTGTGTAGACCAGGCTGGCCTTGAACTCACAGAGATCCACCTGCCTCTGCCTCCCAAGTGCTGGGAGTAAAGGCATGCGCCACCACGCCCAGCTAATTTTTTAAATTAACTAATTAACTGTGTGTGTGCGTGTGTGTGCGTGTGATGCATGTATGCATGCATATGTGCTATGGCAGGTGTGTGGAAGTCAGAGGACAACTTGTAGGAGCGAGTTCTCTCCTACTTTGTAGTTCCTGGGGATTGAACTCAGGTCATCAGGCTCACTGGCAAGTACCTTTACCTGTTGAGCCATCTTGCTGGTCCTGATTTTTTGTTTTGTTTTGTTTTTTGAGATGGTGTCATGTAGCCCTGACTGGCTTCAAACTTGCTATATAACCAGAGATGTGGTGGCAGAGATCAAACTCGGGGTTTAATACACGCTGCACAAGTACTCTGTCAACTGAGCTACACTCTCAGCTCCTTTAATTTTTTAAAAATTTATTTCTTTTTATGTGTATGAAAGTGTTGCCTGCACATATGTAAGTGTACCCATGTCATGCAATGCCCACAGAGGCCAGAAGAGGGCGTCAGATTCCCTGGGACTGGAGTAACAGACAGTTGTTAGCTGCCATGTGGGTGCTGGGATTCAAAACCAGGTCTTCTGCAAGAACAGCCAGTGCTCTTAACCACTGAGCCATCTCTCCAGCTCCTTTAAAATTTTAAATTGTATGTGTATGAGTGTTTTGCCTGCATGCATATAAGTGTACTACATGTATGCAATGCCTGGGAAGGACCGAAGAGAGCATTGGGTCCCTTGGAACTGGAGTTTACAAATGGTTGTTAGCCACCATGTGGGTACTGGGAACGGACCCCAGGTCCTCTGCAGGAGCAACCAGTTCCCTTAACCACTGAGCCATCTCTCCAGCCTCACCTGCATTTTTAATAATGTCTCAACACAGTAAACGAATTTTAATTACAATGGTGGTGGAAAAAAATCAAACAAAAGGGAAACCGAGGAGCATGCGGTAGGAGGAGGGAAGGGGCTTAGCTGGAAGGGGTCTGTGGGGTGCATGAGCCTACTGCCCGCTAAAATGCAGTCTGTTTATTGCTGAGCACTGTTGACGGGAAGAGAGCATTCTGACTCCTTTCGTGTAGAATACTGGGGGTGAAGGTGATGCAGGCCAGGGGGAAATAATGATTAGGAGTTGGAAGACAGAAGAATAAATATCAAAATACACGCAGAGAGTCAACTGCAGGCAGCAGACCACTCATTTCTGGGAGAATAAGAACAGCTGGGGGCTGATGGGGCTAACAGGAAAGTTGTAAGGAATGCATCTCTGAAAGGTTCAGGAAAGGAGGCAGCTCTCTGTGTGTTCACACACAACACAAATGTGCACGTGTTTATGTATACATACACATGCACACAAATTACTGCCTTCCCTGTAAGCACAATACTATAAATAAAAGAAATACTTTCCAAATGGAAGCACGGCAAGGAGCAGCAGCCTCAGAGCCTCACAGTGGCCCACACCTGGCTAGTGCGAGCTGGCCTGGGAGGAGGCAAGCGGCAGCCAGAACTGGCTTTTGCATAATACCAAGAAAAACCTGAGTCACAGGAAGAGGCCCTTATCAGCTCTCCGCTCCTCAGCTCCTGGCTCTCCCTCAACTTACCCTGGGCACCAAGTGACTGCGTTATAAAGAGAGGACGAGTCTGGACTTTTGCTTGGGTGGATGACTAAGATATCTATCACCTGCCGAAAGGTGTGTGTGTGTGTGTGTGTGTGTGTGTGTGTGTGTGTGTGTGTGTGGTGTGGTGTGGTGTGCAGGCTCTTGTCGATCCTCACCTTCCACCTTGTTTGGGACAGAGTCTCTTCACTTAGTCCAGGCTAGCTGACTCTTGAAATTCTGGAGAGTCTCCTATTTCCCATTTCCCCAGTGCTACTGCATCTGGCTTTTGCACGGGTTCTGGAGAGAGACTGAGTGGTTGGAGGTGCATAAGAGGTTCATGTTCTATAATGGAGTGGGGGGCATCATGCACAACTGTGTCACATACACGTGTATGTGAAAACCCCAGTTATAAAAACATTCAGGTTGCTGAAGACCTAACGTGTTCCGCGTCAAGATCAGGTTCAAGGTGGATGTATGGATGCAGACGGGCTCTAAGTCATCACCATGGCACCTGTGGCAGAGGTGCATAAGAGGTTCATGTTCTATAATGGAGTGGGGGGCATCATGCACAACTGTGTCACATACACGTGTATGTGAAAACCCCAGTTATAAAAACATTCAGGTTGCTGAAGACCTAACGTGTTCCGCGTCAAGATCAGGTTCAAGGTGGATGTATGGATGCAGACGGGCTCTAAGTCATCACCATGGCACCTGTGGCAGGAGGCCCCAACGTCCCAAGAAGCAGGAGACCTCATGCCCACCGCATTCTGCATTAGTCTATAGGAAGCTTTCCCAATCGTCCCCACAAATGACTCTCACCACTTATTTTCTGATCTAGGGCGCTGTCAAGCTTTGCACCCTGCTCTCCCGGGGTGTGCCTCTGTCTGTCCACCTTCAGGATGGGTTTCTGTCACCCTCTCCCATAACCTGGGTCACAGTGTCTTTCTTGCTTTTTCTGAAAAGTGAGTGTCCCCTTAGAGATTTAGCGGGGTGGATTCTCAGGGGACCCTGGCCCAGAGGGGTTGCAGGTAAGGCGCTGCGTGTAAGGTGCTGAGGGTAGGGTGCTGCGGGTAGGGTGCTGAGGGCAGGGTGCTGCGGGTAGGGTGCTGCGGGTAGGGGGTTGAGGGCAGGGTGCTGCGGGTAGGGTGCTGCGGGTAGGGTGTTGAGGGCAGGGTGCTGCGGGTAGGGTGCTGCGGGTAGGGGGTTGAGGGCAGGGTGCTGCGGGTAGGGTGCTGCGGGTAGGGGGTTGAGGGCAGGGTGCTGCGGGTAGGGTGCTGCGGGTAGGGGGTTGAGGGCAGGGTGCTGCGGGTAGGGTGCTGCGGGTAGGGGGTTGAGGGCAGGGTGCTGCGGGTAGGGTGCTGCGGGTAGGGGGTTGAGGGCAGGGTGCTGCGGGTAGGGTGCTGCGGGTAGGGGGTTGAGGGCAGGGTGCTGCGGGTAGGGTGCTGCGGGTAGGGGGTTGAGGGCAGGGTGCTGCGGGTAGGGTGCTGCGGGTAGGGGGTTGAGGGCAGGGTGCTGCGGGTAGGGTGTTGAGGGCAGGGTGCTGCCGGTAGGGTGTTGAGGGTAGGGTGCTGCGGGTAGGGTGTTGAGGGTAGGGTGCTGCGGGTACGGTGTTGAGGGTACGGTGTTGAGGGTAGGGTGCTGAGGGTAGAGTGTTGAGGGCAGGGTGCTGAGGGTAGGGTGCTGCGGGTAGGGTGTTGAGGGTACGGTGTTGAGGGTAGGGTGTTGAGGGCAGGGTGCTGCGGGTAGGGTGCTGCGGGTAGGGTGTTGAGGGTAGGGTATTGAGGGCAGGGTGCTGCGGGTACGGTGTTGAGGGTAGGGTACTGCTCCGAGCAGCGCTCCTGGAGCTGGTGCAGTAGTCACGGACCACCTGGGTAGACGGGACCTTCCCGCACACTTCTGGGCTGCAGTTGCGCTGCCCGGCCAGTAGGTGGCGGCAGCGCGCCGACATAGTCGCGGACGAGTGACGTTCCGTGGCGTCTCGGAAATGACGTACCAGTAGCGTCGCGCATGTGACGTGCCGTGTTGTCACGCGAGCGCCACAGCGGACGCGCCGGGTTTGTGGTCTAGGGTACCGCCATGGCTCCGGGCGTGCGGCTCCCGCCGGAGATCCAGTTAGCGCAGCGCCTGGCGGGTAACGAGCAGGTGACGCGGGACCGCGCGGTGCGGAAGCTGCGAAAGTACATCACCGCCAGGACGCAGCAGGCCGCAGGTGCGAGTGGACGCGTGGGGTCGGCCTCGGGACCGCTGGGCTCCGGACACGGAGCGCGTGGGGTCGGCCTCGGGACCGCTGGGCTCCGGACGCGAAGCGCGTGGGGTCGGCCTCGGGACCGCTGGGTTCCGCTCCGGCGGGTCTACGCCACCTTCTTGCGGGGCACCGACCCGGGGGGCTCCGCGTGGACTCCCCAAGCCGCCTGGCTCTCATCTCAGCTCAGGCCTCTCCCTCCCCTCCAGCGGCCCCGTCCTCACCCCGCGCACTCCTACTTCTGAAGCCCGCTCTTGCTCTTCCCGCCTGCCTTTTCCTCTGACGGCAGCGCTTTCCGCTGCTGGAGTGTAGTCTGTGCCCTCTAGTTCCCCAGAACCCGCTTCTTGTTACCTGCTCCCTGTTGCTGGATCCCTTCGCAGATGCAGATTTTAGGCTGGTGCAGAACCTTGGCTAGGGTCAGGGACCTGTGCTTTAGGAAGCTTTAACACCTTCAGTCAAAGACTCGCCACTCGAGAATGGGAAAATGGGCCCCCCGGCACCTTGGTCCACCTCCTTCCTAACTTGAATGACTAACTTTCGCCTTTCGATACCCGAAGTGTAATAGAAGTTACTCCTCAGTGTAAAATTGGCCGAATTTCACGTTAAGTACGGGAACACCATCCAGCAGGGAAAGGGCTGAGGTTCAGAGTTTTGACACAGAGGCCGATCTCTCATTTAGTGGGTGCATGGAGCTCCAGCAGTCACGTGTGTGACTGATTTGAGCTGGAGGATAGCTGGGGTGGAGGTACTGGATACCCAGTTCCTGCCCAGTGATAGGAGTTTGGAGTAATTAGGCTGCCGTACTTACCTCCTGGCTCTGAAAGGTTGCGTTCTGGGGTCTTGTGATACAGGTGGTTTCACTCATGACGAGCTGCTGAAGATATGGAAAGGACTGTTTTACTGCATGTGGATGCAGGATAAGCCTCTCCTGCAGGTGAGTGCATGGGAAGGTAGCCCAAGAAGCTGGATGGAAGTGGCCTGGTGGGCAGCCCTGTTAACCTGGCCAGAGACACTGGGTGCAGTGGTGCACCTTGTTCCTTGTTCCCCTGTGGCTGGTGAGCCTGTGGTTAGAGGGCCTGGAGGAGGACAGCGTGGTTGGCTGAGTTCTAAGCACAGGGGCAGGCCAGGTCAGGTAAAGTCTGTGATTTTATCCCTGCTTTGGTTGGACACCCAATTCTGAAACAATGGAATTTGAGGGCAGAATTCAGGTCTCTTGGAAGTGAATTTCTCCCACTGGCCTTTGATAACAGTGGCTCTCGGCTTGTGAATGGTTTATGTTCAGAATCCTCCAGCTGGAGGACCCTTACCTAACTGCAGATTCCTAGCCCCTATTATTATTTTATTTTGTGTGCAGGGTGTTTTGCCTGCATATATGTACCTGCACCATGTGCATGCAGTGCCCTGCAGAGGCCAGAAGAGGGTGTTGCATCCCCTGAAACTGGAGTTAGGGCTGGTTGTTAGCCATCATGTGGCTGCTAGGATTTGAACCCAGGTCCTCTGGAGGAACAGCAAGTATTCTTAACTGCTAAGCCATTCTCTCTAGCCCCCCTGGCCCATGTTCTTGTGTCTCTTCAGGGGAAGTTCTGGAATCTTAGCAAGTGTATTGGGTAAAGCTTGGTACCAAAATGCAGGAGGATAGTAAGTGATTCATGGGTCTGCTTGGCCATGTTTCCTGCTGGTGAAGTGGCTGTGTCCCAAGGCTCCCTTCACATCTCCCACACTCCCTATGGTGGCTGTCACCCGCTCAGGGCACAGCGTCAGTCAGGTTGGCACTGACTACCTTGTTTATGGAGAGAGTGATGGCTCCAGCTGTAGCGTGGGCCTTTTGTAGCAGGGAGACTTGCAAAACTTGGAGTACCCTGGACTGAGGCCAGGGTTCTCTGTGATGAGCGAGTGAACATTTGGAAGTGTTTGCTGTCAGAGTGCAATGCTTCAGGGCCTGAGGGTGTTCTTCTGTTTCCTACACAGGAAGAACTAGGAAGGACCATTTCCCAGCTCACCCATGCTTTTCAGACCACAGAGGCACGTGAGTACACTGCTGTAGTTAAGTCTGTTCTGTAAACACCAGAGTCAAGATTCAGAGCCAGAGGTGCAGACTTAAGTTCTAAGATCTGACACCAGAGGGAGCCAGCTGGTGTTGGGTGCTCGTGGTGTGGAGCACGGCTCAGTGCTGAGCCTGTGCTGACTCACTTTCCCAAACAGACCTGGCTGGAGAGTGAAAGGCAGAGATGAGGTAGAAAAGCCCAGTGCCCTGACACTAGGTACTTGGAGTTCCCTGATAGCCGTGGTGTTCCTTCAGTGTGTTTCCTAGCTGTTCTGTTTTTCATCTGCCCGCCCGTTGGAATCACCTAGGCAGCCTTTGAAAATCTTGGGGTTCAGACACAGTCCAGGTCAGCCCAGCTCCCTGGATGTGGCCTGTGCACCAGGTCTCGGGCCTCTTGTGCATAACTGAGGACAGCAAGGGCCAGGGGCAGCCCTGACAGTGGCTGGGAGCCTGTGCTCATGTCCTTAGTGATGTGGGTTAGTTTTGTTAAAACGATAGTTGGCAAATTGAGGGGATGTGTATGCATTTTCTCAGTTTGGGAGAGGCCCTCTTCCCCCACCTCCCCACCTTTTTAAAGACAGGTTCTCACTGTATATAGCCAAGCTGGTCTTGAACTTGGCTTCTTCCTGTCTCCACTTCCCCAGATGTTGGGATCATGGGTGTGCATCACAGAGCCAGGAGATCTCTTTAATTGCATGTAAAAGATAAGAGTGGGTCCGCGGGGCTCCCTAATCTTTGATCTCTTAAGAACTGGCAAGAGAGCCCTGTGTGGTGTGTGGTGCATGCCTTTAATCCCAGGACTCGTGGAGGGGGGTCAGAGGCAGGTGGATCTCTGTTCAAGGCCAACCTGGTCTACATAGTGAGTTCCAGGCCAGCTGTGGCTACAGGGAGACCCTGTCTCAAAAAGACTTTAAAAAAAAAAAAAGCCGGCAGGATAGTTGTGGTGCTGAGTGCAGTGCCAGAGTGATCTCTGGTGGCTTGGTCACCAGGCCACCAGGACTGAGCCCTCTGAGCAGCCCTTTGCTGGTGTAGAATTTCTGTAGAGAGAGGAGTTGCTTCCTTTGTGCCCCAGGGCTGGCTCCTCCTGAGACCTGTCTACTTGGCACGCACAAAGCATCTGTCTTCTCCCTGTTCAGTCTGGTTAGAGTGGGCCCATCCTTGTGACCCTGCTTTAATTCCCCGTGCAAAGCCCCTCTCTACAATGATCACTTTTGGAGTATGTGGGGTTAGAGCTTCTCAAGATTTTTAGGGGGACGCAGTTGAACCTTAGCATCTTGTGTCTGACGAACCTGTCATCTGCAGGGTGAGTGGATCTTGTCAGGCGAGCACCAGGCAACCGAGTACAGTGACTTTTGTGACTCCTTGCAAAAGGTCTGGCTTGGTGTTAGGAGGTCCTCAGCCCAAACCAAGGCAGAGACATGAGGTCTGGGAAGGACATGGCCCCAGCGGTCACTTTGCCAGTACCATCTACCTTTTTGAACCTTTGTTGGGAAAATGTGGCGATGGCTTGATTTGTGCTGTGCGGTGTTTTCTCTGGAGCCTGGAAGTCCTGTGCACTAAGCTCCACACGTGGTGTTTCTTTCCAGCCGAGCACACAAGTGGGGAGCCCCAGGGCTGCGGAGCGGGACTTCCTGAGCACATGCTCTCTTCCCTGTGGCTCTGGTGTTCATACAGGTGTACTCTCGCCCTCTAGAGCACCTGTTTCTGCGGGCCTTCTGGCAGACCATGATCCGTGAGTGGGTGGGCATCGACAGACTGCGCCTGGACAAGTTCTACATGGTAAGGACAGTGCCGGCCCCTGAGGCAGGTGACCCACCAGCCCAAGGGCTCAGCAGGGGCTCGTTTGGCATGTGTTTGCCTTCACAGCTGCAGAAGTGTTTGTCCCCATCCTGGAAGGTCAGTGAGAAGGTGAATTCCACCCTAGAGCATTGTGCTGGGCTTGGAACAGGAGTCTTACCACAGCCTTCCTCGAGGGGTCAGTGCTGAGCCATTGTGACTGAGCCCTGGCCCAGCACATGGCAGTTAGTCTGCTGCCTGTAAAAATCCCTTGGGCCAAGAGTTACTCTTATTTTTGTTTTAGGCACAGTCTCATCGTGCAACCCTGATTAGCCTGGAACACACTATGTAGACCCAACCGAGATGCTCCTGCCTCTGCTTCCCACGTGGCTCCTTTTTTCTCCTTCCCTGTTCTCTTCTCTGGGCCAATGATTTGCCTCAGAAATCTAAGGGAACTGAGTTTCATAGGAACCCTATGTGTCACTCTGACCCCTCCCCCAGTGAATTCATGGTCCTGTCACTAAATAGGTGCCTGTTCACTGTGGTGCTAGAGCCTGGCCACAGAACACTGTGGTGCTAGAGCCTGGCCAGAGAAACTTGGAACTTAAGGATGAAGGATGGGCTGTCGGCCCCTGGCTGGATCTACTGCCTATAACAGGATGTCCTGTATGAAGTTGCAGCTCTGAATGTGATGGTCTAGGCTGCTGGTCTTTTATATGGTGAAAGCTGTTGCTTTCCAAGGCCCATTTCCCATGTGCACTGTGTGGCCGAGTTCCTGTTGTTCATAACATCAGATCTCAGCTAGGTGCAGGGCTGCAGACTCTAGGCCCAGGGTCCATCCCATCTGCAGCTCTCCAACTGACCACAAACCTTGGGACAGGCCATGGCTTTACTTTTAGGGGTCTCGGAACACAGGGAGGCTTGGTAGTGTCTTGGCTGCCTCGCACTAACGTGAATCTCTTTCATGCCAAAGCTCATGCGGATGGTCCTGAGTGAGTCATTGAAAGCCCTGAAGACCCAAGGATGGGAAGAAAGGTGGGTCTACACTGAGAGTCAAATTTCACAGGCAGGTTGGGGCGTGGGGGAGCTGTGTCCCTGGGCTCTTTCCCCATTCCTAGGGCTGGGAGTCCTGAGTTTTTCTTGTGATGCTTTGTCGTAGAGAGATGATCTTCAGGTTACTGGGCACCACTGATGGTGCTGAATTAAGCCATTTGCATAGAGTAAAACGGTTTATGTGATGTCGTTCCTCAGCTGAGTTGCCCCAGTGTGCTGTCTGTGGGGCAGACTCCTGTCCATTGGTGAAGTTGTGTTGTCCAAGCCATCACTCACCCAGGCCGCTTATGTTTGCCCATGGTGCTAAGGTGGGCTGGCCTGTGTTCCTGTTTGACCTTAGCTTCCGTGGTAGCAATGGACCTCTACTCTGCCAGGTCTGCTCCTGTCCCTTCCCTCGGGAGACCTGAGCTCAGAGAGCTGACCCCTAGGTCCCCCTGGTACCCTGTGGCTCTGCATCCAGCCTTGGGTGTCTAGATTCCCCAGCACTGAGTGGTAGCCTGAGTCCCACACCACAAAGCAGGTGTCTGAATGTTTTAACATTTTTTTAACTTAGTAAAAACATTACATATGAATTTTTCTGCTATGCTTTTTTTTTGAGGGGGGGGGTCTTGTTGAGACAGGGTCTCCCTGTAGCCCCAGCTGGCCTGGAACTCATAGAGATCCGCCTGCCTCTGTCTCCTGAGTGCTGGGATTAAAGGCTTGTGCCACCACGCCCGGCAAGACCTCAGACTTTTATGAGACAATAAAAACTGTTTCTCCCTTTTATTGCTACTGGACATTAAGCCCAGGGTCTTGAGCACATTAAGCCCTGAAAAGTGATTTAACTAAGCAGGTGTTGCTCTGAAGGTGGTGTATCTGTGCCTGTGTGCCTCTGCCCCATCCACATCTGCTGCAGCACCTGGGTTTTGCTTTTGTTTTTTAGGGGTTGGGGGTGGGATAGCAAAGGCTTAGGAAAAAAAATGTATGCGGAATTGCAGAAGTCCACCTTAAAGAAGGTGGATTCTTATGCTGAGTACTCAAAGCAGGGCCCAGCTGTCAGCCGCTGTTGGTAAGGAGCGTGGCTTTCAGGATAGGTTGTCTGCACAGTGAAAACTAGCATAGCTTGCCCCAGCCCGCTTTGCTGTCCCGATGGTAGAATGAGCACATGTTGGTCTGTGGTACGGAAACCACCTTCAGGGCTGTCTTGCCTCTAGGTTTGCCACTGGGGGTCTTTTCACCCCCAGTGAGGACTGTGGCCTGTAACTAGCTTATTCAGGGCCCAGTTGTGTTGCTTACTATGACTTGCACTGAATTCAGTATGGCAACTGTTTTAGTTTTCCTCCTCGTGGTAAGGAGTTGCTGTTGGCTGGGCACACTCCTCCCTGCCCTGGGGTCACAATGCTACTGACGGAGCCCGTGTGGCCGGCTTCAGGTGTTCCTGCTGCGTGATGGTGTCATCAGTAGAACTTGTCTATCTCTGGTCTTCTTTTGGTTTGTACCTGATCTTGCTGTGTTCTCCTTTTTCTTAAGCCTGGTAGAGCACCACTTTCCTTCTTGTGACCAGTGGCATTGGAGTTGTCAGGGCACCTTAGAAAGCACACGTGACAGTATCAGGCTGGCAGACATCTGCACTGTCAGCAGCCCAGGAGTTTTGGGGGTACCAAGTCTACTGAAGACCTGGCCCTCTGGTGCTCTCTGGTCCATGGCTCTGAGACAGACCAGGCTGTGTGCCAGGAGGAGTTAGGGCCACACTGCCTTCTCAGGTCACCAGCCAAGAGCCCATGTGTCAGGGCCAGGAAGCCAGTGGACGGCTCATATCCCAGTCCTTTCTGGTACTCCTTTCTCTTGGCCTCTGGTCTGTTCTGACCTGACACATATTCCCAGAGAGAGCCATCTGACAAGGGCCAGAGTCTTAGGGGAGGTTTCCTTGTTTTGAGAACGGTGTGTGTTCCCACGTGGTGTGTTTGTGGCCAAAAGCCAGACTCGTGTTCTGGGGCTAGCCCTGGCCACAAACCTGGACTAGCAGAACTGCTCACTGGTCTTTGCCTGTGGGAGTGAAAGTTGGTGTTGATGGATGATGGCACCTGCCCATGCATGTTCCTGCCAAAACTCATAGGAGAGGAGCAGGGCCCATGCTGACCTGTGACCCTCAGGGCTGCTGCTGTACCTGCCCTCTCTTCTCAGACAGGTTGAACAGCTGCTGGAGCTGCTGACCACTGAGATATTGAACCCCGACAGCCAGGCCCCCAATGGGGTGAAGAGCCACTTCCTTGAGATCTTCCTGGAGGAGCTGACCAAAGTGGGGGCTGCAGAGGTAAGGGGGATCGAGGGGGAGGCTGTGGAGGTGAGGTGGGTCCATCCGAGTGGGGGCTGCAGAGGTACGGGGGATCGAGGGGGAGGCTGTGGAGGGCAGGTGGGTCCATCCGAGTGGGTGCTGCAGAGGTGAGGTGGGTCCAGGTAGAGGCTGTGGAGGTGAGGGAGGGTCCAGGTGGGGGCTGCAGGGTACAGTGCATGTGCCCAGGACTGAGCTACCTTACCTGGCTTTCCGACAGCTCACCGCAGACCAGAACCTACAGTTCATCAACCCCTTCTGCCAGATTGCGGCTCACACTGAAGAGTAAGTGGCAGGCGACTCCTGGAGTCTGACCTTGCTCATTCCCTGTCAGGCTCCGTGGCCATTGGCCGTCCATGCGGGAGAGAGGCCTGGTGCCTGAGAGCCCAGCCCAGTGGGCGCTCTGACCTCTGCTCCACCTCTCAGTTCCCTGGTTTTGCACAGTATCACTCGGAACATCTTTGAGACGATTGTGGAACAGGCTCCCTTAGCCATCGAAGACCTAATGAATGAGCTGGACGCACAGAATGGGGAAGAGGACGTGTCAGATGGTGACGAGGAGTCTTCAGAGGGTGAGCAGGAACAAGACAGCGCACGTAGGAGGCCGCCTGCAGGTGAGCGCTCAGGCCTCTCCCTGGTACCTGTCCTGGCCGAGTCTCGGGGTCTTGCTGGGTTGTTGTAGCTGTTTCTGGCTGGTCCATTTCTTCTGTCGGTTCCAGAGTTCCTTATTTTTTTTTTTTTTTTTTTGTCTTTTTGAGACAGGGTCTCCCTGTAGCCCCAGCTGGCCTGGAACTCACTATGTAGACCAGGCCGGCCTTGAACCCACAAAGACCGCCTGCCTCTGCCTCCGATTGCGGGGATTAAAGGTGTGTGCACTTTGCCCAGCTTCAGAGTTCCTTATTTCGTGGCCTTTAACACAAAGCACACAGGTTCTCTCCCCTAAACCTGTCTTGGCCCTGGTGCCCAGCATTGTCTGGTTGCCAACTGCCCTAAGGCTACAGTGCTCCCTAGGTCCTGCCTGGCACCTGCCCTTGGGTCTCTTTCTACCTGGCGTGTGGTACTCTCATGCCATGCTGACCTCCATTTATAGTGCAGCACCCATCTTGGTTTGTCTTTGGTGGTGGTGGTACTAGGGATGGAGCCAGGGCCTTGTGCACTAGGCAAGTGCTCTACCACTAAGCGGTGTCCCTGCCTTTGCCCTGCTTCTTTACCCGGCTTCTCTGCCTCCAATGGTCACTTCTCCCTGATCTTTTCCCTCTAGCTTCCTCCAGGACAGGGCTCTAGTTGGTCACCGATGCCAAGGTCTGTGCCTGACTACATTTTGGTAGAGGGACAAGTGAACAGATCCTGTGTTCTTTTTAACAAATGGCCCTTTGATTTCGGGTTTGGGTCCAGCCTGGACTGCTTCATCTGGATGCTATGGTTACTGACCCGGGGAGGGGAATGCTCTGCACTGTTGGTGTCTTAGCTTAGGACCCCTGCTACTGTACGTGCCCCAGGGTATGCATGCTCATGATCCCAGCGCTTGGAAGGCTGAGACAAGAGAAGCTCCCAGAGTTCAAGATCAGCCTGGGCCGTACAGGGCGTAGCAGGCCAGCTAGGGCTAGACAGCAAGACCTTGTTTCAACCCTACTCCCTGCCAAGAAGGTAACGCTGTCGAGCACACAGCCGAGCTCAGCGCCCCAAGCTAAACGTGTTCTAGTGGCTCCTGGCTCAGACCCACTGCTGGAATACCTGGTACTGCCTAAGGCGCCCACCAACCAAGCACCTGTTCCATGGGACGCCTTCCCTCCTCTTTGTATTCTAGAAACACACAGCTGCCCTCCCAGCCTGTGTCAGCAAGTGAGCACGGGGCCTTCAGTGCCAGATATGAGTGTTGGGGCTGCACCCCAAGCTGCTGCTCTTGAGTTCCAGGCTCCCTTTTGTTTTTAGGCTCCATGCATGGGACTGACCCTGAGGCAGATGGGGAACAGGTGCAGGATGATGAGGATAGCGCTGGCCCTGTCCTTCAGGTAGGCATGTGTGTCTGGGCTCTAAGCTTGACTCCTGCCCTCTGGATGGCCTTCACAGAGGCTGGCTTTTGGGGAAGGATGTGTACTGGGCTACTGGGCAGCTCCAGGTGTGTGCTGGGAGGCGGGCACAGGGGCTGAGCCAGGCCTGGCTCCACTTTATGGCCTTCCTGGGGTGTGTGGGCTGCACTCTCAGGTCTGACCCAGTCTTTGGGGTGCTAGGCCTGAACAGGGTGGCTGAGTGGTCTGCATCTGGGTCATACAGTCAGCTCAGGAAGTAGATTGGCAAGGTCAGGCAGATTGAGAGCTGCTAATAGCAATGATGTGTCACATGAACACATCTTAAGTATCTTTGGGTTACACAAAGTGTGTCAGGTGATGTTCACTTGTTTTGTTCCTACTTACGTGCTTATTTGGGAATTAGAGGCTACCCTCTGCTGCTCTGGCTGTGCTTCTGCTGAGCCCTGGCGCCTGTTCGCTGGGTATAGCTATGGCGCCTGCCAGACCCAGTCAGTGACTGTAGCATTTGCTGGAAGAGTGCTGAGTGGCATCGGTGGGTCTGTCCTTGTGGGGAACAGAAGTCTCTGTGTTGGACTGTGTCTTCTTAGTGTGGTGGGGTTTGTGTGCTTGGAGCACGTGGATGGGGACTGACTCTTGCCTCCCTGGTATATTTTTGAAACAGTTTGATTACGAAGCGGTTGCAAACAGATTGTTTGAGCTTGCCAGTGGACAGAGCACGCCTTCTCAAAACAGGAAGCGCCTCTACAAAGTGATCCGAAAGTGAGTCTGGGTACCTGGCCTCGTCCTTGGTGCTGTCCTTCAGTGCTGTTCGCTGCGTTCTCCCCGCCTGCTGCCGCTGCTGTGTGTTGTCCTGCAAGTGGCTGAGCCAGGCACAAGGTCCTCAGAACTGAACTGGGAAGGTGCTCACCAAGGCAGCATGCTTGGGGCTCCCTCTGAAGCCCCCAGGTGGCCCCCAGTAGGACTGCAGGGTAACTGGTGTGGCCTCCTGTCCCTGGCAGAACACAGCTGAGTGGTGACAGAGTCTTTCTTCTCTTTCAGGTTGCAGGGACTGGCTGGAGGTGAGCATCTGGTGGGTGCCAAGTGTCCTCTTAGACCCTGATGGAGGAGGCGCTGGTCTCTGTGGGGTGGAGTGGTTTGCAGTGATCCCTCAGGCTTGAGAGGGCCCCGCAGAGGCCTGTGTCTTGGAGGCAGAGGGGTTAGGCCCAAAGGCTTGCTGAGCGGTGTTGACCTCATTGCCCAACCTGCCTCTGAGGCTGTGCAGTGCTTTACTGGCCCCTGATCTTAAGCAGCTTCTGGTGATGCGCTGTCTCAGGCGTATGGCACAGATGACCTAGAGGACAGCCAGCCTCAGTGGGCTCTGAAAGTTCAGATGTGCACCCGTTGAAGGTTACTTAGATTCCTACAGATCCCCCCTTTGCTTCTGCCAGAACATTTCACTTCCCTTATTCTGTCTTGTTGTTGAGCCTGCCTCTCTGTGTGGCCGAATGCGCCTTAATGCTTCATGCATGTCCAGTATTTTTAGGTAAAGCTTTGCCAATGTACAAGAATCCCTGTAGCAGTACAGAACATTACCCCTAGGCACGAGTTCCCTTGTACCTCTCCTAGCAGAAGCCTATTTGAAAAGTAGACCTGGCATTGTCTGTGTGCCAGGAATTGGTTTTCTGGACGCCTTTAGTTCTGAGCTGGGTGGGTGTGACCTACTCAGTGGATCCCAGCACCTGACATTGCTAAACAAATTGCCTCTGATATGAAAGCAGGCCTTTCCTGCTTTGAGGTATTGCACCTCTAAGCCCCACCTTCAGCATACTGACCATCACCTGGGTTCTTAGGCACGTTCCCGGAGGATGATGTCCCTGAAAAAGCCTACAAGAAGCTGCTAGAAGGGAGACGGGAGCCAAAGAAAAAAAAGAAGAAGAAGAAACGTTTGCTCAAATTGCAGCCACAGAATGAGAGAGGTAGGACCCAAGGTGGTCGCCCCACCTGCCCTGTGGCCCTGCTCATGTCATGTGATGTCTGGGGCTCCCCCCCAGGCCCACAGAGCACCAGTCCTGAGGACCCCTTCACTCTTCCCCTTTCTAAGTCTGAAGTCCTGTAGTCTGGAGACTGTCCTCAGACCATAGTGCCTGTGCTGTGGCTGGGCTGCCTGACCATCTTCTGAGCCTTACCTGTCCTCCATTCTCCGGAGAGCTCAGCCTTGCCACCAGCATTGCCGTTTACTTCAGGGACTCTTCCCGCATTAGCACTCCTGGCCAGTGTGTGGTAAAGGCTGCCCCAGGCCTGTCACTCTGTGCAAACCTAGGATCTGTCCTGTGAAGGGTCACTAGGTCCACCCTCTCTGGTTCAGCCAGCTTTATGTTGAGGCTGTCCATGTTGTTTCCCACTTTTAGCAGTAGCTTTCTACCAGCCTCCCCTCAGCCTGGCTCTAGACCCAGGCTAGATGCTGTCTTTCCAGCTCTCTGATGCACCGTGTTGAGCTACATTTGCTGGCCTTGGCACCCAGAGCTTGGCCCTCTGGCCAGCCACCTCTACTACCCCTTCCTGTGCCCTCCTCTAACTGCCCTGTCCTCAGCTAATCTGCTGCAGCCCGACTCCTGAGCCAAGCCCTGCCTGGGGTCCTGGCCGTCCACTGGAGCCCAGACAATATGAGGCTCCCTGGTCAGCTGTCAAGACCGTGTTGTCCCAGTACTGGCACCTGCAGTCACAGTGTCAGCTGAATAACATGTGCCTGCTGTCCCTGCAGCTCGTTCACAGCCTTGCTGTTTCCACAGGGGGAGGTGAGGCGGAAACCTCAAGTCCAGACCCAAACCCAGGGATTGAGAAGAGGAGCAGGAGGAGGCCCAAGAGGGCTGGCCAGAGACGAGTTCCCAAGAAGAGGAAGCCTCTGCCTGGAGCTAGAGCAGAGGGGACTGGTGTGCAGTAGTCTGGAAGAAGAAACAGCCATTGCAGGATGGGAAGTGAAGTGCCCAGCCCCAGCCTCCTGTTGGCACCTGGTTGAGCGGGACAGGTCACCTGGGCGTGCCTCCAAGATCCGTGGCTCCTTCTGTAGGGGATGAGCAGGAAGCTGAGCAAAGGAGGCGATGGTTAGGTGCCAGTCTGAGAATCACTCCTTCCTCAGGGCCAGCCTGTGTACCAGAAATACAAATCCTCCTGTGATGGCCCCTCTGAGGAACTAGAGAAGTCCAGCATGGGTCCTGGAGTCTGTCCCTGACCCAACCCCTCAAAGTGAGGAAAGCCAAGCCAAACACCTGCCTGTGTGTGGTCACTGTGGCTCCCACCCTGAGTGTCTGTAAAATAAAGCGCACCTTTATAGAGCACTGCCACTGCATCGCCATCTGTGGGCTGGGACAGGTGCCGCTTCACATGTACACACAAGCATGTGCACGTGCCACTGTGTGTACCACAGCATGTGTGGAGGTCAGAGAACAACTTGGGGGAGTCAGTGCCCCTCTACTGTGTGGGTTCTGGAGAGTGAACTCAGGTTGGCAGCCTTTACCCATGGAGCCCTATCTGCTTTGGGTGGCAGGGGGCTTGTGTACCTTGTATCTGAGATGAAGCCTTGCCAAGGAGCCACCATAGCCTTCCTGGTGGCTGTCTGGGTAGGCTCCTCACTCCTGCCTCATGACTTGTGCTGCTGTGGGTTTTCTGGAGGCTCCTGTGACTGAGAGGCCTCACCATCACTGGCTCCATCTGGGGCATTCTGTGCCTGTGTGGCCACAGTATGTGCTGAGACCCCAGCAGGGCCCAGGTACACTGGACTCAGCTCTCATTCTGAAGAGGCTGACATGGAGCTGGGTCTCCACCTTGAGCCAGCGCTGGGGCCATCACCATTGCTGAGGACTGGGGTTCACACGAGAGGCCATGGGAGGGAGGATTGCAAAGCCTTCGCCTGATGGGGTAGTTCCCTTCCTCAGGTGACCTAAGCTTGTCCATCAGAGCTGCAGCTGGCCAGAGTACAGCTGAGGACAGCATCAGGCATCACAGCTCACTGTCCACGCAGGAGGAACTGCTGCTCTTGGGCGTTCACGGTACGGGGACGCTCTGGAACTGGAGTTTCTTTGGTTTTCTCATCAGCCTCTCTGAAAGGAAATGTGCGTCAACCCTGCACAGATGCTACTGAGCAGAAATGAGGACTCATCAGTCAGGAGCCACAGTGAGCCCTCTAGAGCCAAGCAGTTAGTGCAGAGACTGCCCTGCTCAGCATTGTGGGCCTCCCAGACAGATGCAGAATGGAACCCAGGGCTCAGCCTTTGAGCAGGAACTGCTGAGTCACACGCCCAGCCACCTACTGTGTCCTGTGTGGACACTGTTAGGGATGGACTCCTGGGATTGGAACTGTAGGACAGTGTGAAAAAACAGCCGGCTTTAAAAAAATTTTTTTATGTGAGTATATTACTTGCATGTGTGTAAGTACACCTGTGTTGTGCAATGCCTGTGGAGGTCAGAGAGGGTGTTAGGTCTCCTGGAACTGGAGTTATAGACGGTTGTCAGCCGCCATGTGGGTGCTGGGAACTGAACCCAGGTCCTCTGCAAGAGCAGCCAGTGCTCCTAACCGCTGCATGTCTCTGGCCCCAACCAGCTCTTCTAGTGTTTGCGGTGCAGTGTTGAGGCGCCCCATTTTACGTTGTGGCCTTTGGGTTGCAGCCCTCGTCCAGGTGTGACCTTACATACAGGCACGACTTCAAGGGGGCACTCAACACCAGCACTAAAGTCCCTCTTTAAAACTGTCTGCGGCCGAGCATGGTGGCCCACACTTTTAATCCCAGCACTTGGGAGCCAGAGGCAGGTGGATCTCTGTGGCCTCTGTGAGGCAAGCTGGTCTACACAGTGAGTTCCAGGCCAGCAAGTAAAACAACTGCACGGAAGCTGGAGGGGGAACATTGGCTTGGGGACCTCAGGTTTTTCTCTTCAACTGATTAGACAAAACCCTTACCTCACACACTGGGGGAGCGGGCCGCCTGCTTTACTGACTCTACTAGGTTAAATCCATAGATGGGAGTTCGACCAAAGCTTGTCTGCCAACTTGCCACACTTTAATGGCCCTGCTGGAAGGGGTGGGGATGACAGAAGGCTACACCTAGGGGCCTGACCTGTTATGGTGATGTCTGGAACCTCTGGGAGCCCAATGGGGCTGGAGGCTCTATTACGCAGTCAGGACTGGAAACACAGGCTTCCCCTGTGACAGGTTAGGCTCCTGATTCAAATGGAGACATGCGGTGCCCACAAGGTGCGGCACCACCCACATAATCATCCCAGCCTGCCTGTCGTCCACTGCTCTGCCCACCACTTCCTCCCTCTTCATGGTTTCTCTTCTATGGCTGCCTTTTAGCACCTTAGAAGTGTGTGAAAAGCGGACAAAGCAGGCTGGCTGCATTTCTCTGGAAAATTAAAATAGTTGTCCTGACTTGCCCTGTTCTTGCTTATGGAAACATCAGTTTAGTGGCCACTGGCTTCCTTCTGTGGAGCATCCTGCTCCCTCAGGGTGAACCCTGCATGTGGCACCACCAGGGCTGGGGTGCAGGCGGGAGCCAGGGCCTGGGCAGGGCTGCATGTCAGGGAGTGGGAATTCATAAATACCAAATGCTGAGGGTGCTTAATGATTTTGCCTCTTTCCTCCTGTCCCCACTTACAATATCAGCACAGCCACGGCCTCAACCTCCTTTCCCTGGTTTCCTTCTGTAGTCTGCCTGGTCTCCTTGTGCAAGTCACCAGGAATGAGTGCTGTGAAGCTCACACCGTCCTCTGAGTGGAGCCCTCACTGAGCCATTCAGCTGTGTGCCTGGAGGGCTGGAGCCTGGGAGCAAAGCCTCGTCTTAAAAAAAAAGTTATTTGTGGGGGCTGGAGAGACGGCTTAGCTGTTAAGAGCACTGACTGTTCTTGCAGAGGACCTGGGTTTGATCCCCAGCACACACATGGTGGCTACGAACCATCCTTAACTCCGGTTCCTGGGGAATCTGAAGCCCTCTTCTGATCTCCGAAGCATTGCATGACATGGGTGCACTCACATACATGCAGGCAATACACTCATACACATGAAATAAAAATTAAAAAATTAAAAAATGTTTTGTGTGTGTGCATGTCCATATGTGCATATGCTATGCATATCCTGTGAGTGTGGGTGCACCTGTGCCATGGCAGGATTGTGGAGGTCAGAGGACAACTTTCTGGAGTCAGTTCCCTCCACTGTGGGTTCTGGAGATGGAACCCTGGTTGTTGGGTGTGTGGGCTTTTGCCCTGAAGCCATCGCCCCAGCCTGGCTTAGAAGGATTTTCTTTCCCACTTAGGAAGATGGTGGCCGGCTCGTGCTCATTCCTCACTGTCTCTAAAAACCTAATGCAAGGCGGACTCTCCCTCCAGGGTCAGCGTGGCCTGGGTGTCACAGCATCAGACGTAGAAGCTAGCTGATGCAGTTTGCACGGCTCAACTTCCTCTGCAGCGGCTCCCCCTTGGTTCTGCCCACAGCCTGTAGGATGGAGAAGAGAGGGAGAGGCACAGGGCCTTGTCCTGCCTCTGTCCTCCCTACAGGCGACTCTCAGCACAGCACAGTTGCAGTTTGGCCTTCAGCTAGCATAGGGGTGGGGTGGGGAGGCTTGCAGGCCAGGTGGAAGCAAAAGTCAGGAGATGCCAACCCTGTGTAGTAGGAAAGTCCACTAGAGCCCAGGAGGGGGCACTGTTGATTTGGCTGGCCAAGGGCAGGGAGCAGACGCAGGGTGCACAGGGGGTTGGCGGCAAGTCCCGCGCAGCATCCAGGCCACTTCAGGGGCATGTGTTCTGATCCCGTCACTATGAAATTGGGTCTGGACCCCCCCACAAACCTGGATGTGGATTGACTGGTGGCTCAAAGGTGACCGATACTTGGGTTGGGCAGTGGTGCCAGAAGCCACTGGGAGTCCCTCCATGGGTCCTTCCCAGTCTCTGCCCTTCCCCCTCCTCCCTCCATAGAAGACCACCCTTCTAACAGAGTGGCCATTGCAGTGTGTGTATGCATGTGTGCGTAAATAGAGTTACTGCCATGTTGGCCTCCCCGGGCCCTGTAGTTCACCCTAGCCCACTGAGTCAGCTGTTACTTTAACAGTATGAGGGATGATGAAGTTATAAAGAGGAAAGGGTTTTTTTTTTCCCTCACAGGTTTTGAAGTTTTCAGTCATGGTCAGTTAGCCGCGTTACTCTTTGGTCTATGGTGACACATCATTGTGGTGGGAGGTTATGGTGGAGAAAGGCCAGTTATCTCATGACCAAGATGCAAAAACAAAAAAGCCAAGAGAAAGAAGTTGCTGCATTCCCACAATTCCCTCCAAAGCCACCTCCCAATGACCTGAAGAAGTCCCACCAAGCCCCACCTTTTAGGGTTCCACCACCTTCAAATACTGCCAAGCTGGGGACTAGCTTTTGGGGAACACTCAAGATCCAAATGTCAGGACCCATTTATTATTTTTGAATAGTTTTATTGTGGGGAGATGCACAGCACAAAATTCATTAGTCTTAGCTGCCAGGACAGCAGTGACAGGCTAGGGACCAGGGCAGCAGGAGCACTCACAAGATGGAAAAAGGCAGCCGGGCATGGTGGTGCACACCTTTAGTCCCAGCACTCGGGAGGCAGAGGCAGGAAGACCTCTGCGAGATCCAGGACAGCCTGGTCTACATAGTGAGTTCCAGGAGAGCTGGGGCTACAGGGAGACCCTGTCTCAAAAGGATTAAAAAGAAAGGGGGGGGGGCTGGAGAGATGGCTCAGCTGTTAAGAGCACTGGCTGTTCTTGCACAGGACTCGGGTTCGATTCCCAGTACCCACATAACATCTAACAGCCATCTGTAACTGGAGTTCCAGAGAATCCAACACCCTCTTCTGACTTCTTTGGGCATTGCACAACATGGAGACATTTACACACATGCAGAACATTTACACACATGCAGAAAATACACACATACACATAAATAAAAATAATTTTTTAAAAAAGAAAAAGGCAGAAATAGGGTGCAGTATAGCAGGGTGAGAAGGGAGTAGAGATGTCTACCCAGAAGCATTCGAAGGACCTGCTTTATGCAGAATTTAGATGCGGACAGTTAGGTGGCATTTTGGTGTAACGGTGCTGTGGACAATTACAGCTTCAGTTAGCAGTGAGCACATCCACAGAATCACAGAACCGTGGCTGGTGTAGTCACAGAACATTCTCACCATCACCGGAGAGCCTCACACTTACTGGCAGGTGCTGCTCGTGCCGGTGGATCTTTGTCAACTTGACACAAACTAGAAACACCTTGGAAGAGAAACTCTCAACTGAAGCGTTAGCTCCATCAGATTGGCCTGTGGCCAGGTGTGTGAGGCTTTTTCTTGGCTGCTAATTGACGTAGAAGGACCCAGCCCACTGTGGGCGGTGCCACCCCTTGGCAGGTGGGCCTGGTCTGTATAAGAAAGCTGAGTAAGCCCAGGCAAGCAAGACCGTCTGCCAGCAGTGTTCATCCATGGTCAGTTCCTCGGTCCCTGCCTCCAGGTTCCTGCCCTAGCTTCCATTGGTGACAGACTGAGCTGTCAGCCAAATAAACACTTTCCTCCCCAAGTTGCTTTTGATCAGTGTTTAATCACAGCATCAGAAAGCAAACTAGGAGACTTCCCTCAGCCCCTGCAACCACAGATCGCTTTCCATCTTCATAGACATGGAGTCCCATGGAGGGCCTTTGTGTCTGAAAAGGCTGAGTAATATTCTGCAGGGTGCATGGACCACAGGTTGTCTTCCATTCTTCTGGGACACTTCTGCTGTTCTGAGTGGAGCTGTTGTGAACAGGAAGCGTCCATGTTCTTGGTGAGCACCTGATGGTCATTCTCCTGGGTCTGTCTGTGCAGGAAGGAACTGATGGGTCCTTTGGAAACAAACTCTCTTCTGGGGTTCCTAGCCCCTGGCAAGCACATTCCCAGAACTGTTGCTTTACCCTTCCCTGTGTCCTCTAGGCTGGAGGCCACAAGCAGGCTTAGGGAAGTGGGGGACTTCTTGTGACTCTTGGAGTACCTGAGGGTCTTAACTGGAGAACTCTGCTGTGGTGGCTAGTTGGTGTCATTTCCCGGTTTCTCTGGCCTGCAGTGTCCCCCAACAGTCCCCACAGGAGACTGGCTCTGCACTGAGGACAAAGTGACCACAATGAACTTTGTCCTGAGAGAATCTGAGGTTGTAGGGCGGGCTTTGGAAACTGTGGCTTCTGTGTGAAAGTGCACATGGGGGCAGATGGTGCCTATGCCAGAAACCAGCCACAGCAGGGAAAGGGGGAGAGCCTGGAGTTGGGGCTGGTCATGTTCCCTTTGTCCCCAAGGCAGCCAATTTGATTTCCCCATAGGCCCAGGCTGGCCT